TCGGTGGGTGCTGGGAGTGGGTAGATGGGTGGTTCGAGTTAGTCGGTCGGGGGTTGGTGTGGGTGGGTCGGTGTGTCGGTAGGTCCTCGGTCTGGGTCGGTCGGTAGGTGCTGTACATCTTTTTTTCTTTTTTCTTTTTTCTTTTTTTTTTATTTTTGAACGGGCCCAGTGCCCAAGGCTGATATTACGAAACACATGATTGAGGCCGGGGTTGTCACAGTCTACCTGGAGTATCTCCGATAGCTGTTCCGTTCTCACCACATAGCAGCCCCCCCTGGTTCGCTACTGGATTGCCTTCGTGCCTCGGCAAACCCCAGACCTCTCTACAAGGCCTCATGCCCGCGCCATTTGCAGGTTACAGGGCGACTCCCCTGCCCCGGCCAGCGTCATTGTGGCATCAGCTAGGTGAGTGTGCGGACTGGGTCAGCGGGTGGTTGGACTGGGTCGCTGGCTGCTCGGACTGGGTTGGTGGGTGCTCGGACTGGGTCGTTGCGTGCTCGGACTGGGACAACGGGTTCCGGCAGAATGGTGCCACGAATGTGTCGTGTCTTATTACGATGATGTTATGCTTCCTGTTTCTGCATAACATCTCCAGGGTATTCTTTGTCATGGCGCGGGGTGCGTCCTCCAGTTCGGCATCGACATTTCTGTCGGAAGACGTATACAGGAATTACGACTACTCGAGTCATTATCCGGGCCAGCCGAAGCGGCCGTCGGACGATGAGCTTTTAGAAGTGTGTGGCGAGCGTTTGGGTGATGAGTCTGGGGTGAGATGGTCGTTTGACGAAATGTTGCAATTGTTGTACATGAAGCAGCAGGAAGTGAATGCTTTGAAAATGTTGCTTGACCGGCAAGAGAAAGAGCATGTGGAGGCGTTGGAAAGGATGTTGAACGGGATCAGGTTGGGGCCGTGCGAGGGGGCAGGGGGTAGAAAGAGGGCGAAGCAAGAAGAGAAGGGGGCCGACAGGAAAAGAGGAGCAGATATGGCCGTAGAGAACGTTGAACTTGGAACGCATGTGGATGAAAATCTGAAGTTAGTGGATGAAAATCTGAAGTTGCGCTCGATTTACAACGTTCGCTGTCATACGCTGGGATCACTGAGGGACATGGTGGTGAACCTGCACAGCAACAGGGACGGGTCACTGTTGCAAAACATGATTCGTTGGAGGGAGAGGGCGGTAAGTTTAGATATCCAGGTTAGAAAGTTGTTGACCATATCTGACACCCGTAGGGACATCTGTGTGCTTGCCAGTGCGTTGTTCAAACATCCGACGGAGAGTACAATGCGGGAGATTGAAAAGAGGGATGCGTTGAGTGCTGTTAGGTGTCTGGAGTGGCTGGCTGAGACGTTTCTGCAGAGGGCGATAATGGCTGAGGTGCAAACTGCGCTCAACTTCCCGTTGACAAAGCACCAGGAAGAGGGTACTATGGAGTGTCTGTTCAACCTGTTGCTTCGGTCAATGCGATCCCGCCAGCGTTTGGCATATATGATTTCCGCGGAACAGTCGGTAACGGAGGATTACAAACTCACCCGACAACAGGCAGCGGATTTGGTACGTATGAAGTCAGTGCTAGGTCAGAGTCTGCTTCTTTCCGCGCAGGGACGGCATGCAACGGAAGGTGAGAAAAAGGAGATTGGAAGCCTGATTGTGGAGTTGTTGCTGCTGCAAAAGTCGCATGCAAAGCTGCAAAAAGAGTATGCTTACCTGCTTGTCCTTCGCTGTCTGGAACGGCGTGCACATTGTCCGAAGTGCGGGTGCACATTGGACGAAATACGGCCACACGATGCGGAGGCAAGGAAAACGAGATGCGAGAAGATCCGGGAGCGGATCCTTGAGGTGAACAACGCGCAGGGGCGGAGTGTGCAAGGGGCGCGACCAAGTTATTCGTTGGAGTCGTCGTTGGAGTCAAAATTCAGAGGGAGGGAAGTGCGCAATGCGCTGCGGGAATACAGAAAATCCATAGTCGAGACGGAAGCGAGGCTACGGATTATTGACACAGAGCGCACAGAGTTTGTGGACGACATGTACGCCGAGGTTGTGATTGGTGGTGACGTTGTGATCGATCGCCAGTCGGGGGAGGGTTTCCTAGTGTATGATGCGATGGCACGCGTGCGTGAGGAGGACGACATGCCTGGTTTGATTCCGGTGTTTTATGACGGGGAGGATGAGCGTTTGGACGAGGATTACATATGAATTGACTTGCGCCGCGGTGGGTTGTTTCCCGGACCGGCGTGTTGGGAGGATGGGGATATAAGGGAACGTTGGGCTGTGCCGGCATGACGACGGACTGCTGGGCCGGAGGGATGGGTGGAGATGTGCGCTCTTTGTGGGACGGACTGTTACCTTTTGTGGTGTTTCCCTCTTCTTTTTGCCGCCTCCAGGTGCGTGGTGCCCGTGCCGTCGGTCATTGGCCGTCTTCTGGCTGGAAGACGGCTCCATTGATGCTTTCGCGTTTTATTTAAAATGCGGTGTGAGTTTTTCTATATGTATATGTACATAGATGTGGATGTGATATATATGTATTCACACATTGCTGTTCGAACTATGTATATGTACATCGCTTCGGACTGGGTCGGTGGGTGGTGGTAGGGGGTCGGTGTGTGCTCAGACTTCGTTGACGGCTTCTGGGACTGGGTCGGAGGTGCTTGGACTGTGTTGGTGCGTTCTCGGAGCGGGTGGCAGGTGGTTAGAGTGGGTCGGTGGGTGTTTGGACTGGGTCCGTGGTTGCATGGACCGGCGTGGTGGGTGTTGGGGTTTAGTCGGGCGGTCCGTGGGTGCTGGGACTGGGTTCGTGTGTGCTGGGACTGGGTCGGTGGGTGCTGGGACTGGTTCCGTAGGTGCTGGGACCGGGAATGTGCGAACTGGGAGCGGCTCCGTGGGTGTTGGGACGGGGCCCGTGGAAACTGAGAGTGGGTCCGTGGGAACTGGGAGTGGGTCCGTGGCTGCTGGGACCGGGTCCGTGGGAGCTGGGAACGGGTGGGTGGTTGCTGGGACTGGGTCTGTTGCTGTTGGGACCGGTATGTGTTTGCAGTCCCTCGTTGGGTGCGTGGGTGGTGGGACTGGGTCCGTTGGTGTTGGAATTGATATGTGTTTGCAGTCCCTCGGTGCGTCCGCGGCTGCTGGGACCGGGTGTGTGGGAACTGGGACCGGTATCTGTATACAGTGCCTCGGTGGGTAGGTGGTGGGAGTCGGTTGGACTGGATAGGTGTGTGGTCGGACGGTGTTGGTGGGTGCTTGGACTGGGTCGGTGCGGGCTTGAACTGGCTCGTAGGACTGGGTCGCTGGGTGCTCCGACTTGGTCCGTGGTGCTGGGACCGGGGACGTGGGAACTGGGACTTGGTCATCCGACTGGGTCGCTGGGTGCTTCGACTGGGTCCGTGGGTGCTGGAACCGCGGACGTGGGAAGTGGGACTGTGTCTGTGGGCGCTGGGACTGGGTCCGTGGGTGCTGGGACCGGGGATGTGCGAACTGGGACTGGGTGCGTGGGTGTTGGGACGAGGCCGGTGGGAATTGGGATTGGGTCCGTGGGAACTGGGACTAGGTCCGCGGGAACTGGGACTGGGTCTGTGGSAACTGGGACTGGGCCTGTGGGTGTTGGGACCGGTATGTGTTTGCAGTCCCTCGGTGGGTAGGTGGTGGGAACTGGGTCCGTTGGTGTTGGGACCGGGTCCGTTGGAACTGGGAGTGGGTTCGTGGGTGCTGGGATTGGGTCGGTGGGCGCTCGGACTAGGTTCGTGTTTACCCGGAGTAGGTTCGTGTTTGCTTGGACTGGGTCACTGGGTGCTCGGACTGGGTCACTGCGCACCCTGTTTTGTGGAGAGGTGTGTGGGTTGGTGTGTGGATGTTTGTTTGGTTGTGAGGTGTCTTTGGGTGGAACGCCGTTGTGGCGTTTGAGGTGGTGATTGGACCGGTTTTGGTCGAAGGAAAGTTCTAAGACTGTCGAGGTTTGGAATGTTTTTCGGAGATGGTCGTAATGGCGGTTGCAGTATATGTGATCCTGTTGTGTTTGCCATGAATTTTGCGTGCCACTGGGCGATGTGGCCTTTTATGGTGCTCAAGAGCATTTCGGTTGTGGCTCGCGATTTCTTTCAAGTTTAGAGGCGCCGTTTGATGAGTTTGTTTTTCCTTTTTTTTTTTTGGTCTGGTGTTCGACCGCTTTGTGTTAGGGTAATGAGTTCCTGTGCTTGGATCCGTAAGCCTTTTTAGTCCTTTTTTCTCTTTTCGATTTTGTCGGTCAACTTCTAGGTTTCCTTTTTCACAGGGGACGGGCTCCGCTGGCTGGATGCAGCTGGAGACCTGGTGGCGCCTGAATTCGAAACCTGTGCTTAGTTGTATTTTTGCCTTGGGCACTGGGCCCGGAAAAAAAAAAAAAGAAAGGATACATCCACGTGTCTATATATATATATCGTCAAATAGAACTGCCCGGTAAACCGTAGGCAGAGAGGGAGAAGAGGACAACAAACGAGGGGCTGTGACGAACTGTTTCGTCGGAGTTTCACCGACTCATATATATATTATCTATTTGACGATATATATACATTGTATAGTTGTATACACACTCGTAATAATATTCTTTTTATTATACCCTTTCATATTATTATATATTATATGACCTTTTATATGTATATACACATGCATTTTTTTTTTATTTTTATGCTGTTGTTTTGAAAAGATCGTTCTTGATGTTATATGGTCTTCATTTCCATGGTAGTTTGGTGGCACCTGAATTCGGAACCTGTGCTTAGTTGTATTTTGCCTTGGCCACTGGGCCCGAAAGTAAAAAAGAAAAAACAAGGATACATCCACGTGTGTATATTTATATATATATATATATATGACGATATATATGTATATATATATATTGCATAGATGTATACATACTCATAATATATATTTTATATATTATACCCTTTCGCATTATATATATTATACACCCTTTTATATGTATATACACATGGGTTCGTTGTGGTTAGAAAAAGCGGTTCGCTCCCGCCCCCCCCCCCACACACACACACCCTCCCATCCCACTCCTCAATAAATAAATTAGAAAAAGAGATGAGACGCAAATCAGAGGTGGAAATGAGAGGGTGTATATGTGCGTGTGAGGCGTGGGGTATGAAGGGTGCTGATGCAATGGTTTCCAATTTGGTGTGAATGTCGTTGTTTGTTGTCCTGTGCGACCGCTGCTCTTGCATGCTTTCCATCAATGAAAAATGCCKCGYAACGYACGTATCGCATTCGACGCATTCGTTTCCTTTCGTGCGTTGGGTGGTCTACATCGCGAGTGCGATGTACCGGTTGTTGTCCTATGGCTGCTTTGCTTCGCTACAGTTTTGCTAACATGCCGAAAAGTCCTGGTTTGTGGTCAGTTGACTGTGCTATGCGGTCTTAGTGCGGTTTTGTCCAGAGTGCGCCGAAAGACGGCATGGGATTGTTCTTCTGCATGGTTCGGACGCAACCATGGATGGTCAACGCCCTTTGCGGTCGGGGCCTTGGCGGGAAGCCCTTATGCTTCACAGGTCGTGCGATGATATTTCGCACGCTCCACACGTGTTTCCGGACCAACTTCGATTTCGAAGCGGTTCATGCAATGTTACTGTGGATGCGCGTGTGCATGCCGATGGGTGGTTGGGGAGAACGGTCCAGGATATCCCAGAAGCGGCACATTTGTTTACGGCGGAACATGCGCATGGCAGTCGATGGACTGCTGTGGGCAATAGCGATTCCCGTGCGTCAGAGTCTTTCCTGTTCCCGGCATCTGAGCCGGTGAATTACTTGCCAGGGGCTGGGTACGAGGTACCTGGTCCTTCCACGACAGCTTCAAGTGTGAATGCATAAACCTCGCTGTTCACCACACCTAGGTTTGGTCTTCAAGACGTTCCCCCACAAATTCGTTCTCCTTCACCACAGCCCCCCGCGGAAGCCTTCTCCGCGCGACTTTGCGAAAGACCCGGAGGTTGGGCGCAGAAGCCGAAGAGGAGATGTTGTCAAACACCGGTTGCCGCGCCCTCTGCGGCCGGTCATCACACAATTGATCCTACGTTGGTTGGTGCTCCGTTGTGCCAGGCACCTTACAAGGATATAACTAACTGCACCACTCCTCGGTTCTCTCAGGAGTTCTTATTTTTACATTCCCTCCTTTCTGCGCACGTATCATTGACGCCGGCTTTGGGATCAGGGGCCGTTCCGCAGAGGGTAGGAACCTTCTTCCCCGCAATCAACGTTGCGCACCGTTCGTTGCCGTTACGATGGCGGAAAAAAACACGTTGTCGTCGAATAGCGGTGGCGGACATTCGAGTATTCGACTACCTGCAGAGGGCAGGAACCTTCTTCCCCGCAATGAACGTTGCGCACCCTTCGCTGTCGTTACGATTGCGGAAAAAAACACATTGTCCTCGGATAGCGTTGTGCGACATTCGAGTATTCGACTAGGTGAGAACGAGTGCAGGGTTCCCACGGGTGCAACGGCTCATTGGCGTGGTGGGAAGGTGTTGGACACGGTGCGCTCTCTGCCCCGCGGCCATGCGAGTTTCGTAGAGGAACGGGGGCGCGAATGGGCATTGAACGAGGATTTAGGACGGACACAAGGACAGTGGGCTGCCCTGTCTGAAGCGCCGAGTCGTAGTTACGACTTTGGTGCTTGCCACGGTTGGCTCGACGGGGGGTCTCTCGGGGGTGTCGTGCCTGTGCGTTCCTCGGTGACGTGGCCCGGTACCGGTAACGTAGCTTTCGAATCAGGGGAGGCTGGCGGAGTCGCTCCGGATGTTGACTCAACGGTCTTTGGAGACAGACGCGTATTTCAGCTTCCACTGGAAATGGAGCGGGAGGCGTCGTGTGTGCCGCAAAGTGTGCGAGCTGCCTGCTCTGCGGCTGGCAACCTCGACGGGCTCGATCCGCAGGGGAAGTCTGTGCCTGTTGAAGGTCGGGTGGGGGGGGGGTCGTGCGAATCTGTGCGGAAGGAGAGGGTGAGTGATGGTGCTGTGAGTGGCGACAACTCAGGTCGCTCGGTTGGACGGGGGTTGGCATCGAGCGCGGCCACTACGCGTGCGGCGCGACGGTTGAGAGTATCGAGCCGGCGAAAGCGCAGGGCGTGGACACTCGGCGAGGCGGGCGTTATGCGGACTTCGGGCGATGGTCCTGTGAGTGGTGACAATTCAGGTCGCTCGGTTGGACGGGGGTTGCCATCGAGCGCGGCCAATGCGCGTGCGGCGCGACGGTTGAGAGTGTCAAGCCGGCGAAAGCGCAGGGCGTCGACACCTGCCGAGGGCGGCAGCCGGGAGCCCCCAGAGTGTCCAGATGCGCCTTGGGGTTGCCAGCGACGGAGAGAAGAAAGGCGTAAGGGGGACGACAACGCTGTTGTTAGAAGCGAGGTCCCTGTATCGGAAAGAGGATTGCCACGGTCAAGCGTGCAGGTGTGCGGTTCCGACTGCCGGTCCGACTTGGAAAGACATGCGTCTGCCATTGTGGAAGGGGGCGAGGGGGCCGAGGAACGTCACGTCGATACTGGAAGTCGTTCCGGGGTGGACGTAGGGGGGTTACGTTTCGGGTCCATGTCCGGTGTCTGTTGTGTAGCTGCCAACTCCGACGGGCTCGATGCGCGGGGGCAGTCTGTGCCTGTTGAAGGTGGGGTGGGGGCGGGGTCGTGCGAACCTGTGCGGAAGGAGAGCTCGAGATTGTCACGACGACAGCGCAGTCTTATATCTCAATTTGTCCGACTAAAGCCGCCGGCTTCAGCGGGCGTTGTGCGGACTTCGGGCGATGGTCCTGTGAGTGGTGGCAACTCAGGTCGCTCGGTTGGACGGGGGTTGGCATCCAGTGCGGGCATTGCGCGTGCGGTGCGACGGTTGAGAGTGTCGAGCCGGCGAAAGCGCAGGGCGTCGACACCTGGCGAGGGCGCCCAACACCGGTCGGACTTGGAAAGACATGTGCCTGCCATTGAGGAAGGGGGCGAGGGGGCCGAGGAACGTCACGTCGATACTGGAAGTCGTTTGGGGGTGGACGTAACAGTGTTACATTTCGGGTCGGTGTCCCGCGCATCCGATGCGGTGGCTGGTGCGGTGCCGCCGCGGTTGCCTCTCCTGTGTTCTGCTGCTTTCCGTTGCGCGATCGTGAACCATGCGCGGATCTTCGGCAACGCGGGCACCGTCGATCCATACAGCCTCGGGGAACGTTCCCCTTGCCAACATTGCGGTGCTCTGCTTTGGAGGCATGAGCATGCATGGAAAACGATTTGCTGTAAACAAGGCAGGACGAAGTGCCGATTGTGGGAGATGCCGGAGGCAGGAACTGCGACACACTCGGTGTTGTCGCTGTGGACAAAGGACACTCGCGAGGGCAGGCTTTTGAGGGCAAATTCGCGTAGGTTCAACAACGCGTTGTGCCTCGTGTCTGCGCATATGAGGAAAGCGGAGCAGGGATTGCGAGGATTCGAAGGGCAGTTGAAGATCCAAGGGCTTGTGCACCACTGTCTTGGGCCCTTGGAGCCCGAGCCTGGCCAGAAGCCGCAATTCGCACAGATGTACATTTACGAACCTGTTGACGTGGAGGCTGTTACGGACATGCGAGTGGACACGATGCGCCTTCCCGACAACACGACAGAGTGCGAGATCCGCGCAATTCGGCAGTTGGTTGCTCGCCTTCACGGACTTCTGCTGCAATGCAATCCGTATGTGCGTGACTTTATAACGTATCACGAGATGCCTGGTGCGCACCGGGACGGGGTTAGGATTGTTATTAACCCCCACGCGCGGCCACGCGGTGAGCATGAACGGCGGTACAACAAACCGGAAGGCTTGCTAGAGTTGTGCGTGTTGATTTCGGAAAGTTGTTGCCGGGTGAGGTGGAGGTGCGTTGTCGACCGGAGCGCAACGCAGGTTGTGCGGTGACAAAGGTTGTCGATGACAATAGGGCGTACGACCCTTTGCATTATGTGCTTTTGTTTCCGACTGGCGAGGATGGTTGGGACAGACTACCCGACACTTCGAAAGGGAACCCCAACAGCATCACCGCCAAACAATTTTATGCGTTCCATCTGCATGAGAGGTGTGGCGAGCGTACCACCCTGCTTTGCGCGAAGCGATTGCTTCAAGAGTACTGCTGCATGGCATACGCCAAGGTTGAGACTCATCGCTTGAACTACTTGGAGTTCAACCAGGAGAAAATGCGATGCGAACGGTACAAGGAGCTGCGGAGAGCTGTCCAGCAGAATGAGCATGGGGACGGTGTGGGGACGAAGGTCTTTCTGCCTTCGACCTCCACGGGCGGGCCCCGTTACATGGCCGAGAAGTATTACGACGCCATGGCCGTTGTTCAAAAGCTCGGGAGGTACTCGATAGGGGCCAAAAACTGTCCAATCCGGATGCTGTGGATGAAGCGATATCTGCGGAGATACCGCCGGATGGAGAGCTTCGTGAGAAGGTGTCCAAGTTTATGATCCATCAGATGTGCGGCGCTGCGAAGCCCTCCGCCGCCTGCACGACCAACAAACGCTGCACAAAACACTTCTCGAAACCGTTTGTGCGAAAAACCACCTTCCAAACGGGGAAAGGGTATCCTCTGTACAGACGGTCCTCCCCAGATGCAGGAGGTTGCACGCTTTGCGAGGCCGGCGTCGTGTACGACAATGGTCGAGTTGTGCCATATAACGGATACCTGCTACTGCGGTTCAACTCCCACATTAACGTGGAGTCGTGCGCCAACATACCCGCTTGCAAGTATCTGTACAAGTACATTTTGAAAGGGAACGACAAAGTTATGGTTGCTGAGTTGGAGAGACAGCACAGCGTCAACGAAATTCGTAWGTACCGAGATTTGCGTTGCGTTGGCGCGAGCGAGGCGTGCTGGCGGATCTTCGGATTCCCCGTAACCCAGCAATGGCCACCCGTCGAAAGGCTGCCGGTTCACTTGGANTGGGAAAAGATAGAGGAACCTTTATTCAAAGCCGTCAACGCCCTTTTTTTTTTTTTTTTTTTTTGTGACTGTAATAATAATAATCTAATAATAATAATAATGATATAATAATCTAGGTTACCAATGGTCCGGGGGCCGGTCGTCTCCCCCGGACGTCTCCCCCATACGTCCGGTACCCCCGTCGTCCGGGAAAAAAAGTTTTTTTTTTTCGTAAAAAAATATATACATATATTTTTTTCGGTTTTCGATTTTTAACTCATGATTGACTGCGAATTTGAATATGGCTCCAAGGCAAAAGTTGCTTGTATTGTTATGTTACGTAACATATATTTTTTTCCGATTTTTCTGAGAACTTCGTTTTTTTTTTTTTGCGCTAGGTCGGACAACCCCTGTCCGATCGGACATTCGACCAGACGTCCGGTCAGACATCCCGGACGGTCAGGGGGGTCCCGGACGTCCGATCCAACAACCTAGATAATAATATAATAATAATAATAACCCCATTGGCGTGATGTACCTTCCTGGGCTTACTTCGCACCTGCTACCGAAGAGATAGAGCGGTGGATTCCCCGATCGGCATCAAGCAGAGTCTCGTATGTTCGTACGGGAGGGGCCTGAGGCCAGGCACGGGGGATTGGTCCGCTTTATCCCTGGTGCTACCGGCCGTCCCCTGGCCGGTATGCTGCAGGCTCGTGAGGGTTAAAGCACGGCTCTGGTATGCTACAGGTTTCCCCGTATGCCTGTAAGTAGGAGTAGTGGTAGGTAGGTAGTGTGAGGAAAATTGAGAGAAGAGTATAGTTAAGAAAGAAAAAAAACGAAAAAAAAACATAGCAAGTACGCGCCGACCCGGGCCAAGCACCTACGAACTGACCCAGCCCAAGGAGCTACCCACCGATCCGGCCGAAGCACGATGGGAGATCGTATAATAGACGGGAGCGGTGGGAGGGTCGGTTATTCGTGCTCAGGTGTTTTGTTGTGCGTTGGGGGATTTTTCGAGTTCTCGGGTTCTTCTTCGTGAAGTTTTCGAGGTTTGGCGAGCCGGCGGGTTAGCTCAGTAGTGGCGGGTTAGCTCAGTTTGGCGAGGTTTGGCGAGGTGGCGGGTTTGGCGAGGTGGCGAGGTGGCGAGGTGGATGAATGTGTGAGAGGGAGAGAGAGAGAGAGAGACAGAGAGAGAGAGAGAGAGAGAGAGAGAGAGAGAGAGAGAGAGAGAGAGAGAGAGAGAGAGAGAGAGAGAGAGAG